TCAGTGCTGCAGAGTGGGCCCAGGAGCTCTCATGAACTGGTAAAGAAAAGGAAATGAAAAACTCTATTCTGCTTATGAGTGTGTGTGTGGTAATCTCTTAATCAAAAGTGTAAGACTAACAGTTGCTTCTGCCCAGTTTTGAACTGTCAGGTACTTTTCCAAGTACTCCAGTATAATCATTATCAGTGCATCCAAACAGTATTACTTCTTCCTCTATATATGTGTTTTCTATCAATAAGATGTTTATGTATTCATCTAATTATTTGGATGATCACTTTACAAACTTATTTTTGTTTCAGTTCTACTACACTGAGGAGCCCAAGAAGAGGGGCTTTGCCAAGAGTGCTTCAAAATGTTCATGGAAGGCTGGATGCCATTCCTCTAGAAAACTGCAAACCTGGATCACTTCACAAAGTTGCTTCATAATGCAGCCCTAGCTCAGGGCAACATACGTGTGATCAATGTGTGCTAGTCTCAAACATCTAGGTTGGTCATTTAATACCTACATGGGTTTGTTTCCTGCCTTGGAAAAGTGTAAGCAGGCTAATGCTTTGAGGGCAAACATATTCTGTTGAAGAGCATTCTGAGGCCTGTCACTTAAGCTGACTGCACCAGTGCCTTTACATTCGGTGTCTGAGGGTAGATTAAATGAGGTGATTGAGATATTATTAGCAACTAAATGATTGTTAGAAACTGCTCTAGCTAAGTCAGCTGACTTTACAACTCTGCTGCCCTTAAAATTGATTTCAGGAAAGCTTTTTTTCTAGCATATAATTTGTTTTAGATATGAATAATTTACAGGCTTCTTTTATGATATGCCACAAAGGATCAATACCAATATAAAACATACTCACCACTGTATATGCCAGCTATTGCAAAATTCTATGCTATTCTTTTCACAGAACAAATTTCAAATATATGCACTGATTCAATACAAATTATTTTCCTTAAATCATATGAGCTATTCATTAATTCAATAGCTAGTAGTTTCTTAACTTTCTTTTATCTTCCTCCTAATTACCAAGTCGGATATCCCTGTTACTTTTCAGTGCTCAGCATAGGTAACAATAATAGCCATTCTTTTCTCAAGGTTCATTTCTAACTGCTGGAAGTTTCTGCTGGGGAAAAATAAGGCAAATTGAAATAAGGACTAATGCTAACAGTTAGAACCTGTGTTTCCAAAATGGTGGTAGTAGCATTTTGTTTGATACATATTTTATCACATTTATGCTTTTAGGTGCTTATTATGCACAGACATTAGGAAATACTGTTATTTAGATGGCCCATGCTCGTTTGGCTCTGTGGTTTTTGTCAGATAAAGTCATAGAAAAGCATTTGCCCAAGAACATCTAAGCTCTGCAAAATGCACAGTTTGGTCTCCATACTGTTACAGCTAGGCTTTGGAAATCAATATTGGTATGACTGATGATAGTTTGCTCTGTCCAGAATGGCTTGGATCTGATCAGAAGGTTCTACAATTAAGAACTGAGTTATACAATGGGGGTAGTTTACATAATGGGATTGAAGGGAACCTAGAGCGTAGCAATGCTTCAGTTTATAACCTGAAAATTCAATTAGCATTAGTATCTATCTGGAATCTAGTTGGTTAAACACAAAAATGGGACAGGAACCAGTGAAAGTGGTTAGTTGCTATGAAGAGCAACATCTTCTGGAAGTGCATGCATGCTGTGAATGCTGGATACATCATATGTTTTTTCCTCAAATATGTATAAGCAGAGTTTGCCACCCACTGACACAAGATACTGTCACAGCCGAAATTTGCCTGGTTCTAAAAATAGCATAAAATAGATGTATTTTAAGCTTCCTTTAGTTTGGAGACAATAAATATTTAGAAGTTATGTTTATTTAGTTTGTAATCTAAACAAAATTTTGCCGAACTTCCAAGTCTGACAGGTTTTTACTAGTTCTTCATTTACAAACTTGTTTTCAGTGGTGAATTAACATAGCATTTATACTCAGGGTAATTGGTTTGGATAATGTTCAATATGTGGCTATCTGGAATATACTACAAAGCCTTCATAGGTCTGATCATTGTTGTTATATGCATCTACACTTCATTTGACCCTGGCAGCTCTCTGTATTCTAAACCATATTTCTTTACTTTCCTCTTAAGAGATTTTTCCAGTGCATTTTATTTCCCATATTAAAGCCAATGTTAGCTACCTACCCTTCTGGGGGTGTATGCTTCTATATAACATTGGAATGACTTGCGTCCTCCTGTACAAGGTTCTAAAACATAGATAGCCACTGTTATGGTCTACTGATGTGTTTAACTCTTAATTTTTCCTTTAAAATTCAAAATCATCCATTTTACCTTTTCTCATTCCTACTGCATGTAGCAGAATGAAAATTGAAAACAAAACAACCTCACTTCTGTTCACTGTGTGGATATTTTAGTTTCATCTGTAATGTTGGCAGAAAGTGCATGGTTTTGGAAGGGATTAGTTATCTTCTTCAGTGCTAGGGGCTCAGAGGCACCAGAAGCTGTGCGTGTAGCAGCAGTAAAGGCAGGCCACCACTGGCAATACCAGCTCTTGTCCCTGGGTTGGGTTATCCATGATTTTGAAATGGCTCACTAACCAAGAGCAGTGTGCATACCACAGAAATTCCCATTGGAAGTTCCTATTCTAAAGACAAAGCAGGAAGTGTATCTTCTGAGGTGCCATGACAAAATAAAGAATCCTACTTTTTTTTTTTACTCTAACAGCTGTGAATATTTTAAAATACAAAATACCATAAGACTAGGAAAATCTTCAGTTAATATTGCCACTGTCTGATAGACCTTCAAGAAGATCTTTATATTTCACTTGAGCTATTAAAAAATGTATAAAATATCTCTACTGCTGCAGTGTGCTAAATCACAAGAACCTCTTTAATTGGCTTTGCCATCCTGGGAACTGTGATGTCAAATTTAGTTGAGGGTACAGAATGACAGTTCTTCAGAATAAAGGGACTTTACCCTTGCATCTGTTTTTCAGACATGAGAACATCTTCAGCAGTTGACAAAACTTGAGAGAACTTGACAAAGCCCCACAAGTTTTCTTACTGATAACTATTAAAATGTATAGAATAACTGTTAAAACTAAACAATTTTAGAAGTTAAATTGACTTTCCCTACCTGTACTACCTGTGTGCAAATTATACACAAATTGTGTGCAGTTAGCTTCGTGCATACTTGTTTCTTTTTTTCTTTTCCATAGAATTGCTCAGGTTGGAAAAGACCATAAAGATCATCAAGTCCAGCCACAACCTAACCATACTACCTAACTAACAACCCTCTGCTAAATCAAGTCTTTGAGCACCACATCCGAATGGTTTTTAAACACGTTCAGGGATGGTGACTCAACCACCTCCCTGGGGAGCCTATTCCAGTGCTTAACAACCCTTTCTGTAAAGAAGTTTTCCTGATGTCCAACCTAAACTTAGCTTGGTACAACTTGAGGCCGTTTCCCCTTGTCCTGTCACCAGTGAGAAGAGACCAGCCCTGCTCTTGCTGCAAGCACCTTTCAGATATTGGAAGAGAGCAATGAGGTCTCCCCTCAGCCTCCTTTTCCCCAGACTGAACGTCCCCAGTTCCTTCAGTCTCTCCTCGTAGGGCATATTCTCCAAGCCTCTCACAAGCCTTGCTGCCCTTCTTTGGACCTGCTCCAGTATCTCAATGTCCTTTCTAAACTGAGTTGCCCAAAACTGAACACAGCACTCAAGGTGAGGCCTCACCAGTGTTGAGTATGGGGTCAGGATGACTTCCCTAGTCCTGCTCACCACACCATTCCAGACACAAGCCAGGATGCCATTGGCCTTCTTGGCCACCTGGGCACACTGCTGGCTCATATTCAGCTGACTGTCCATCAGTACACCAAGGTCCCTTTCCATCAGGCAGCTTTCCAGTCACTCATCCCCAACCCTGTAGAGTTGCCTTGGGTTGCTGTGACAAAAATGCAGGACCCGACACTTGGCCCTACTGAAATTCATATGGTTTACCTTGGTTCATCGAATCCACTTGATTCTATGTACTAACACTTTATCCTGTTGTTTGATATGTGACCGCTTCAGCAAACCATGGAACTCAAACAGTTTCATCTCTAAGAAAGCATAACTGTTATAAAATATCGAAGATGTTTACCAGAGCTGTTTTCTCAGCTTTAACTAACTGACAGTATTTTTTTATGTTATCTAACAGAAAGTTGTGATCAAAAGTGATAAATATTCCCGAGGAGATAGTTAAAAGAGAGAAATGTCAGATAGATAAAAAAGGAAAAAAAAAAGTCCCTTTTAGGTGACTGAGCACTGAAACTTCTTGACCAAAAAAATTATGGAGACTACGTCATTAGAGCTATCCAAAACTTGGCTGGACAGCCCTAAGCAACCTGATAGAGCTTTAAATTTAGTTCTGTTTCAACAAAGGGTTGAACTGCGTGATCTCCAGGGGTGCCTCCAGTGTAAGCTTTGTTGTGATTTACAGTTATCTGTCTGTGTCCTAAATTGTCTGATATTTCAATCCCAGGAAGAGATGGAAATACTGTAGGCAACAATTTATAATAGGAAATGAATGCTCAGTATAAATTTATGTTTTTGTTTCCAATGTACTATTTTAAAAGTTAGTTCCCAGACTAACTTGTTTGAAATATACTTTTTAATGTGTTTATAGGCTCAGCTGCTCTGTATTAACTCTAAAAAAGGCATTCATCATGGAAAGCTTGACCCAGAGTTAATTTTAGAGGTGCTAGCAAATGCTGCTGTTATAAAGCCTTTTTCCTGTTTATGGTAAGAACAGATATTCTCTTCTCCCTATACTTACTATCTTGCCAAAACCAGGGGTCATTAACAAGGTGAATCTTTGGTTTTTTGGTGCTTCTGTCAATAAAATTAAAGGAAACACACACAACACTTCTACGATACTTTCTTTCTTTCTTTCTTTCTTTTTTTCCCAAATAGAAACACATGAAATATTTAAATAGTTAAAGAAATAATGTTTTAGTCTACATTTTTCTCATTACTACCACTGATGTTATTTGTATTTAGTAGGAGGAATACCAAGATAACTTATTTTTATCCAAACTGCGTGCAATTTATTGTTGAAACATGAAGAGGTCCTCGCAGTTTATCTTGCACAGATAATTTCTGTGAAAAGATAAAGGTGATCACAAATAAGTCAAAAGTATACATCCATTAGTGCTCAGGATATAAGGCCAACTGCCTGTTTAACAAACAGTCAGGCAAAACCTAGGGAAGTCAATAAATGTATATGGACAACTGTAACTTTTCACCCATGTTCAGTAATAGAAGTGCAGACATATAGTCAGGTTTCCATTTTCATGTGAGGATCTCAAAATTATTTGACAAATGGACAGAGAAATGGGGAGAAAAATAAGGACTTTTCAAATATATGTAGAAATTATGTGTAGATTTCAAATACAGTCCCAAATGCTCAAAACCTTTGATGGAGAAGGCTGATTTCAGGTCCTTATAAATACATTGTCAAAAAACACTCCAAAAATATAGTTAGAAGCAACTTGCCCAACATCAGTGTGGAGCTGAAAATAGAACTCCAGTATTCTATTTAAAAACCCCAAGATAAACATTAGATTTACAGTGTTCCCAATAGACTATACAGTTGTTGGGTGTTTTTGTTGTTGTTGTTGTTGGGTGTTTTTTTTTGGTTGGTTATTTTTTAAAGTTCTTTTGGCAGGCTAATGAAGTTTAGCATTACACTGTGGGCTTGTATGACCTTCTTTCCTTCTGTAGCGTTCTTGGAACAATGTTATAATATGGTCATGTTAAAAGGATTTTTCCATTACCTTCTGATTCTGAGCTTGTTTTCATATTTTTGCGTACCATCCTGATCCACCTTGCATCTTCGCAAGCACACACGAAGCCACTCCCCCTGACAGTAATTTGATTCATTCAAATAATTATTTATTCTTATAATTATTATAATATTCTAATAATTGTTATTATAAGATTTATTCTAGGCACCCTATACTTTTCTAAGTAAAGTGTGGATGCATATAGATTAAAAAAATACTGAATATTATCTTACAAATAAGCAAATTCTTACAATAATTAACTGAACATCCATTACACGTTAACCCTTCGAGCAGGATTGAAAACATGAAAAACTATAAAACTTTCTTTAATGCTTAAAATCTTAATACCTGTATGGTATGTGAAAAGAGTCTGATTTTGATTCAGAGTAACATGTCAAAATGCTGCTTATTCTCATTGATTACACTTGATCAGTAACTTACCAGGTATATAATTGTCAGACCATTAGATGCCAATGCTTCCTCATAGGAGTTGCCTGGTCAGCAGTGTTTCCATAAGTCACTCAGTTATTGCTGAGTCAGAAAGGAGCACTACTCTTGAGAAAAGACCTAATATACTTTATCTTTCTTCATAATATGAGAAGAATCTAAGAATCCTCATATTTCTGATTCCAATATAATTCCTTCTTCAAAGCTGATCATCTTGTAAATGTTTTATACTTTCATACATTTTATGCCTATATCTGAACTGGCATAATGCCAATTCAGCTCAGAGCATAATTAATCAGTATTGATCATATTCAGACTAGATACAAGAGTCCCATCAGCTTCAGCCTGTAGAATGCTCTTCCATGGCCATCATACCTTGTACTGCCTTTCCTGGTGTGTGCAACTCTGGAAGCATCTGAAGCATCTACAACTCCTTGCGATTAATTCATAAGAGAAGAACAATCTTCCCTTTTAACAATGAAAACATCCCAAAGGTCTGCCTACATATAAATTTGCAGTATCAAAATCAAGGTTATGCTGTGGTGTTTTCCGTTGAGATATATCACAGAAAACTGCCAGCCTCCTCATCTCTTCTAAGATCTGCCACTCTTAAGCTAATTTACTATTCATCTTTATCTCACCAGATGATAGAAGAACCCTCTCCCTGTGCTATGAATCACCCTTTCTGCATTCTCTTCCAAATCAATTAAAAAATATTAATCAAAGGGAAAGACACATTAGAACATTCTTTAACTACAGGAAATGTACATTTGGCAGGACATAAAACTTCCCAGATCCCTTTACTTTGGCTTCATGCCCATCATAAACCATATAGACACATCTATGTGATGATACGTACAAACTGTCATAGAGACTTGTCAGGAAGTGTTTTTTCAATCTAAAAAGTCATCCATCTATCAACTGTTTCTCAACTGGGGCCTTTGTGCCAAATTTCTTGGGCATGACTTTCCATAAGAAAAAGAGGGCATTTTGCTGTCATGTAAGAGAGCTGAGAATTACTTCTGATACATTTCAAATACAGTGGAACAAAGGTTTTCATGCATTTTTTCACCAAGCTCATGCATCTTTTGAATCCTTTAAAAAAGAATACATATTAAAGGCCTGCTAATACACAGAATATCAAAAGAAGTGTGTCATATTTGAAATTCAGACTGATCTGCGAGTCAACCGTCTTTCACTTGTTGATATCTCCATGGTTCATGACTTACTCACTCTCTTGAAGGATATCTGTCAGAATGTCTTCATCCACCACTTTGCTTTCAGATTTAATTTTACAGCCCTGCCCGATACAATGGAGAGATTTCATTTGAGATTATTTGTATATCTTCCAGTATTTTTAAATTATCAGAGGAATAGGTTTGGGCTTGTGTTAAGGCATTACATATTTGAGGAACATCACACTACACTAAAAAAAAACTGCTTTAAGAGCAGCATTTTTTTTAATTCAATGTATAACTAGATTAAGTCCAATTTGTTGGTTGCTTCACCTTTTTATTTAAAAGTTTTAAAGAAGCATCTCTATTTGTGCTAATCAGAAAGAAAATAACAAATGAGTACCATGATACATAGACAAGCCACAGGAATAGATAAGCAAGTACAGTGTTATTCTGCCACTTCTGAAGCTTCTTGCATTGCCTGCTATCAGAGCTAGGGCAGCAGATTAGACAGGAGGTTAACCTAGTATTCTATTTCTCACTGTATGTTCCATTCTGAATTTATGTTCAGGTGACAACAGCAGTCATATTTTTTAAGTAGACCAATTATCCTTCATGCAATAATGTCAGCTGCTTAGGTTTAAAAATAATTGTGTCTAAAAAAGTCTTCAAACTAATAGAATACTAAAATGTATGACAACAAGATAAAAATGACACCACACACAAACCTCAGTGAGGTGTGATAAAGCTTAGTGCTTTTGGATTGCTCATTCACCTTCGAATCTTACTTCTTTCTCATTCATTTTTTCCTCCTTTCTCCTTCATAGAAAAAGTACATACAGAAAGACAAAAAAGAGATTATCTAGCAACTCCTGTGTTCAGCTACTGCTAGTTTGTATTAGAATTTATTTAACTGCTTTTTGTTTTGCATTACCAAGATGGAGAGAAAGAGAGAAAGAGAAAGAGAGAGAGAGAGAGAGAGAAAGAAAGGAAAAGAAAGGAAGAAAGAAAGGAAGAAAGAAAGAAAGGACGGAAGGACGGAAGGAAGGAAGGAAGGAAGGAAGGAAGGAAGGAAGGAAGGAAGGAGGAAAGAAAGAAAGAAAAAGAAAAAACACTATAGAGTTTTTGTTGAAGAGGACAGCTGCTAGCAGGGAAAGCTTTAGCAGAACTATTCTGCTTCAGAGAGGTCTGTTGCTTCTGCAAAGTAAAGAAATAAATAAAATCCTTAAGCTTAGGAAATATCAACTGAGATCCCTAGAGGAAATAAAAAGAGAGCTACATGGGAAAGATGAGGTCAAAGAGGTTAGATAGGAAAATCATTCCGAAGTATGAGATGATGAAGTAGGTAAGAGTGAGTGTCAAAGAAAATGGCCTAATTGTATTGCCTGTTGGTAATCGTTACAGCTATGCATCTTCTTTTAGTTTTCATGCATTTAATGTCATATCCATAAATTCTAATGATTTTAGAGAAGAGCCTTAATAAGGCTTTTCAGCTGCCTGGCATCTTTCATCTGATATACTAGTTGTTTCCATAAATGTCACCTCTTTTCCTAAAGAGGTTGAGAATATTTCCTATGTTTCTGCTTGACACAGTTTCCTAGAAACATCCTGATCTTCCAATTTGCAAATACAGAAGACAAACTGGAACTGTTTATCACTGATACTGTGTTTCCTTTCTATACCTTTTGTCAAGTACCTGTGCTCATACTGTTTTTTCCAATGACTTGTTTCATATGAGGAAAGCTTTTATTATGTCTGGAGAAGAGGAGGCTCAGAGGAGATCTTATTGCACCCTCCAGCTTCCTGAAGGGAGGGTGTGAGGAGGGTTTTGGCCTCTTCTCCCAGGCAACAAACAGGACCCGAGGAAAATGGCTGCATGTTGTACCACAGAAGGTTTAGGTTGGACATAAGGAAGAACTTTTTCTCTCAGAGTGGTCAGGCACTGGAATGGCCTGCCCAAGGAGGTGGTGGAGTCGCCGTCCCTGGCAGTGTTCAAGAGGCTCCTGGATGAGGAGCTATGAGATATGTTTTGGTAGCTTGTGGTGGTAGCAGTGGTGATGGGAGGATGGTTGGACTGGATGATCTTGCAGGTATTCTCCAACCTTGTGATTCCATGATTCTATGATTCTATTCCAGTGATATTGTGTACAGAAAGTGCTCTGAGTTTGGGTAAAGGGGATCTTACAGACCATTCAGCCCCAACCCCTGCTGTGGGCTGGGTGCCTCCCACCAGCTCAGGCTGTGCAGGGCCCATCCAACCTTGGGCACCTCTGAGGATGGGGCACCCACAGCTGTGGGCAGCAGTGCCAGCACCTCACTGCCCTCTGAGTAAAGAATTTCTGCCTGACACCTAACCAAAATCTCCTATTCAGTGATTTGGTATGCACGTATTTTTAGATAATCAATTTTTGGCTTCAGTAGTATGGGGAACTTGTTCAAAGACCGTTAAACATTCCTTGTATTTTACAGCTTCTAAAGCACTTTAGATAGTCTGAACACTAAAAGCACTCCCAAAGCAAGCAGCGCTCCCACCCAAAATAAGAGGAAAATAACAAACAAACAAAAACCACGGGAGATTCCAAAGGGAAAAAGAAAATAAAACAGTGACTTTTTGATACAGCTTTTTCTGGTTTTGTAACTGAAATGCTGAGAAAGAAACACGAAGGTTTTGTTGTTTGTTTTTGCCTGTTCTTGCTTTGCTTCTAAGATCGCTGTCACCCTAAATCGGTGTTTTAGTTTCCTACGTGCTTTAGTAGGGAATGTAAGTTCAAGCAAAGCTTCAGCATTTATTTCCCCCCCAGAATTACACAGGGATGTTGTCAGTAACGTATAAACTCCTGAAAACCCTAGTAAAACCGCAGCGCCACTGCTCCGTTAATTTGGGTAATGAGAAAAGCCAGCACGGCGATCTTTGAGCCACACAAACCACACGAAGCGCTGAAGCCAACCAACCGAGGGCCGCCCGTGGCACGCTTTGCATGGCCCGGCCCAGCCCCGCCCGGAGCCCGCCCAGCACCTGCGGGCAGAGCGCAGCCCCGCCCCGCCCCGCTGCCGGCTCGGCGGGCGCCTGCCGCCTCCTTTGAAAGCCGGGCCGGGCGGCGGGGCGTCCGGGTTGCAGCATGAGGCCGCAGGTGAGCTCGCGGTGCGTTGCCTGCTTTGCTTTTGGGGGCTTTCCTGAGGCTTTAGGGCAGATGTAGCCGGCTTTGCTTAGTTGCGCTGGAGTTAACTGGAGTTCTCGAAGTTTGTGCGCTTGGTGGTGTTTACCTTAATAGTCCGCTGTTTTGCAGTGGGTAATGGTGTTCTTTTATTTGGGCTCGGCTTCTTCTGGCTCGCTGGGGGAGGCTTGCTAGCGGAACAGCAGGGCGTGTGGCTGCCGGTCCCTTCCTAGGGCCCGGGCTGTGATAGCGGGGCAGGGTCGTGTGCTTCTGAGCTGCCGTCCTTGGGAAGTAGCGATGGGAAAACTTCTCTTACAGTCCTTGTGGCTTATCTGCTTGTTTGGTTGCCCCTCAAAAAATAGCGGTGGTGAACCTCGAAGGCAAGGTATGTTTTGTTGGTGGTGGTATTTTTCCTCTGTGTGTTCTAAAGCCCTTGGTAATAAGGAGGAACTGGTGAACTGATTAAACATAAACTACCTGGAAACTGAGAACTCCTCCTCTCTGAAAAGTGGCACGTCTCAGAACTTGAAAACTTACTTTGTGAAGCGCTGTTCAGGACTCTAAGCGTATGCTGTTGAAGAATCTGGTTGTGAGTTGATATTTCATGTGTGTTTGGCTTTAGTGTATTTTATTATTTCGTAATTGACTGGCAATAATAAATATGGAGTTGCCTCACCTGTTTCAGGGCAGGAGTCTTAACTCCCACCCCTCTAGATAGGAGGCTGCAGTGAGAATCAGGGTCTGGAATGTGGTGTCAGTCCTCTGTAGGGTAGTCCTTCAGACTGCTTCTCATTTATGTGCTACTTGAAGAAAAATGAGCATGAGCTGTGAGGGACTCTTTGTGGGGGGGAGAGGAGGGCTGGATTATGAGACATCCGTGTGGAATAGCTATATATTTCAATCTGCCCTTAATGCAGTTCTAATAAAGGCTACAAATACATGTGAGTATGTATGTGTTCATACATACACATACGTACTCGCTAGTTCTGAAACTACTCTGATAGGGAAAAACTGTGTATCTCTTTAGCATGTCTGTCTTGTGTGTAGATGTCTGCTGTAGCTTAGGTATGCAAGTAGGCTTTTTCTTTTTGTACTGGTGTTTGCTCTTTCTATAAACAGTAAGGTTAGCCTGAACCAGAAATTCCTATATGGTTCTTACTCCTGCCCTGCCCCTTGAACTCCCTCTTGCAGGCCCAGCTCCATCCCACGGCCCTAAGCAGGGCTCTGGTGGTAGCTGCCTTTGAAAACTGCCTGGCTGTCTCTTTAGAAATAGAACTTTAATGCACGAGCTGGCTGTGCTCGTTTATAGAATTACTGTTTCCAATAATATCCCTGCTGATCTTATGAGAAGGATAAAAAATAAATAAACAGTAATGAAAAAGATGCTGGATGTGTTCCAAATGAAATAGAACGGTGATTTTTTTTTTTTCTCAAAACTCTTCTCCCCCTCCTCCCCCCCTATCTTGTACTTAGGTTAGGGCAGGAGGGGACATGATCTGATCTGTATCTTGACCTCCTCGTGGAACTTTTATGATTACAGTTTCCCTCATAAAACTATTCCATTGTTCTGAAAGACTGAAGTTCTCTTCCTCCTTATTTCATAGAATCATAGAATGGCCTGGGTTGAAAAGGACCTCAAAGATCATTTTGTCTCAACCCCCCTGCTGTGTGCAGGGTCGCCAACCACCAGACCAGGCTGCTCAGAGCCACATCCAGCCTGGCCTTGAATGCCTCCAGGGATGGGGTGTTCACAACCTCCTTGGGCAAACTTCCATTCTGAAAAGAACCTTTTTGAAGGCAGTCTTGTTACTATCAAATAATGATCAAGAAGTGTGCTGCTAACTTCTCCGCTGAGTTCTGTGACTGTACAAACATACCCCTTGCATAGAAGCAGGCCTTGAGAGTAAGACTCCTGTGATGCAGTAGGTGCTGATGCCAGGCTCCCCTTCCTGGGTGCACCCCTCATGGCTGAGCCGTGCAGCACTCAGCCCAGGGATGGGCTGGGCATCTTTCATGGGGTTAACTGTGTTCCCTTTTCCACTCTCAGGTGCAGTGCTTCAAAGAATAACGTTCTAAACTAAGGCCAGGACAGCATTTCATGTATATCTAAATCCATCTGAATGATGGCCAGTAGTCTTTCCCTTTTCTCCTTCTGTCCTTTTTTAAAAGAGAGTGTTTTGGAATTTCCTAAGGGAAGATTAGGGTAGGAGGAGGGCAGGAAAAAACCATCTATCTAGAATTTGCTTGATGCCTTTGCCTGTAGCAAAACAAAATGTGTATATTTTATGACTGTAGCTTGTATTCTGCTACTCCATCTGTCAGCCGTTCTACAGCATCTTCAGTTAAAACCCACCTTTGCGAAGATGCCTGCAACTAAGTACGCAGTTAAGCTTGGGCACGTGCCTTTGTAAGGGCTTGGGAGCAGCTCCCTGCGCAGCCTCTGGTGTTCCCTTAGGTCCGGGTAAAGGACGCATTGCCCAGGAAGCGGGTGATAGGGAAGTGGGTGGCGGAGCAGGTGGTAAAGGAGGATCGCTGTGACGTACAGGGCAGGATTCTTCTGTTTGTTGCCACAGGTGTACGCGCGTCTGTCTAGCAGTGGAACAGCAGCGATCTGCTCTCGTTGCCTGTCTCGTAACACGCCACTCGCGTTAGGCCTGCAGAGGGGAATGCCTAAAATCCGCTGCCGGGTGCGGCCGCGCCGCGGGGCGGGACGTCTGTGCCGGGTGGCCGCTGCCTGCCGTCGCCGGGTGTCCGCAGGCCAGGTGTACCGCGGCCAACGCCGGTTTCGGTGCGGGCGAGCCGCCCGCTTCCCCCGCCCCCACCGATCACATGCCTGCCGCGCTGGAAGGCTCCCAACAGAATGATGTGGATTGTTTTTATTTATTTATTTTTAAGGCCAGCGGGGGCTGCCCGCATCGCTCGGCCTTCGGCGGGTCGGGTGCCAGAGTTCCGGCAGAGCCGCTCCCCGAGAGGCGCGGGGGGCGCCGCGCTCCCCGCGGCCGCCGCTGGGCCCGCCCGTCCCTCCCGGCGCGGCGGCGGGGGGACCGCGCGCGCGCAGAGGCGGCGCCGCCGCCACCACCGTTAGCGCGGGGGCCGGGCGGCGGCCGCGCCGGTTTTTCCGGCCCGCGGCGCGGTGAGTCACCGCTCGGCGATGGGGCGGGAGCCCGAGTGATGTCGGGGGCGAACGGCGAGCATGAGGCCGACGGTAACGGCCGCGGCAACGGCCGCCGCGCGCCGCCTCGAAGCCGCCTCCGACCGCGGCGGCGCTGAGGCGGCGGCGGGGCCGCTCTGCCGAGTGCCGCCTCCCTGACGCCCTCGGCGCCGGGCCGCTCGGCCGGGGAGGAGAAGCCGAAAGGGAAGGCGGAGGGGCGGCGAACTTTCCCGCCGCCGCTGCCCGCTGTGGGAGTGTCCGGCCGCCGGCGGAGCCCCGAGGTTCGCGGCCGCCTCCGGAGGGGGAAGCGCCCGCGGCGCCGCTCCGCTGAGTTGGGAGCGGCGCAGGTGGAGGAGCGCGGCGCGCCGCGGCGGGGAGCTCCGCGCGGACCCGGGTCCTGCGCTGCCGCCTGCGCGCGGCTCAGCGGAGACACGCGCTCGGTGCGTTGTGCCGGCGAGGCCCTCGGCAGCAGGGAGAGCGCCCGCCGTCCGGGTTTCTCGCGGAGGTACGTATGCAGGCGGCGCGCCCGGCTTACGGCCGAAACCGAGTGCTTGAAGAGCGCTGCGAGTGCCCGCCCCGTAGGACCGAGGGCTTGGGACTGCCCGCTCGCAGCTGTGCGAGGTGAGGGTCGGCGCGCGTTCGTAACGGTGTAAAGGTGCGCGGCTGTGGGCTGGCCGATGCCGGCTCCATCGGAGCCGGGCTTCAACTCCGTGAAGCGCGGCTGAAGTTTACTTCTCGCCGGGGTGACGCGGTACTTTTCCACCAGCCTTGCGTGGCTTCTGGCTTCGGCTTGGCTCAAAATGTGTGTGAAAAGTAGTTCATCTCCTGGGCAGGCTTAAGTAAACAAATCCTAGGATACAACGTGGACGAGCTGTTGTTCTGCTTAAACCGTTTGTTTGCTTTTCCTTTTTTAAAGGACGCCTGTTCAATGTAGATCTCCCTCCTTGGGCTGCTGAGCTCTGTGTGAGCTAACGGCTGTTAATTACACAGGTGAATGTCTGATTATCATACGCGTCTCAATATATGCTGCTTTTCGGAGTGCGGCGGGCTTACCGAGCTTCACTCCAAGGTGTTAAACCATTAAATGGTTTGCAGAAAGCCTGAATTATTTAGTGTTTAAGGCATTTTATGTCTATTATTTGAGTAGGCGTTTTTTAGTTACTTTTTTAATGAAGCTTTAACTTAGCTGATTGAGGGCTTGTTTTACTATGGAGATCAATGAGTTTACTTCTATCTTCTTTTCTTTTGGCATAGGACTTATATTGATTTTCAGTAGGGAAAGGTGTAATCAAAATGGGATTTCAAAGAACGCGCTTGTCTCAGACCTGAAAAATGTTCAGCAATACCATATGTAACATGCGGTCATAAAAGGTATTTGAGGAGAGTCAAAGTAGAGGGGAAGGCAAGCCGAGTAAAATTGTAAGGTGATGACAGTAGTTTGTAGATAAAGGTCCCTAATGAGATTGGACTGTCCTTGAAGTGAACTCAAACAGAAATCAATGGGAAAATGAGAATTTGAGGTGGGCAAAAATTGATTTATTTTTCTTTTTTCCTTTTACTCTCAGGCTGGTAATCTGAATCCGGAGTAACTTTATGTACCTCTGTATTTTAAATAATGAGCTATGGCTGGCATGTTGATGGGCATCTATTTCCTGGATTGTGAAAGCGCCTTGTGATTAGTGGTGTAAGATATGAAAGTTGTGGTCTGGCTCTAACAATCTTGTTTTAATGAGCTGCATTCCAAATTAATTTAAAACTTGCTCTCCTAAGAAGATATCAGAAGTATAGAGTCATGTATGTAGTGTTATAAAAGGCTTCCTACTAATGTATATCAATTTAAAGAAAAAACTCACAAAACTCCTCTCCCTGTCTATAGGGGAACTGAGTGACAGATATCACTTAAAGTATTTTACCTTCTGTGTTTGTATACCCAATAGAAGTATAGAAACTGGTGTACTGATTTTTATTTTGGAGGATTAGTTTCAAAATTTTTTTTAACAAGTGATAGACTTTAAAAATGAGTAGTTGTGTTTGCAAGGTTGAGAAGATGTTTAAAAAGGCTTTAAAAGAAATGTTTCTTCATAGAAAACGACTTTGAAGATGCAGCTATTTGTAACAATTTGGATTTGTTTTCTCATTTCGATGGGCTATTGACCTACAATGGTCTTTGATACTATTTGTGGGGAGTGGACAATACAGATGCTGTTAGGTTTTATTTAGTATGGGTATGGTATTGCAGTAGTCTCAACAGATGCTGGGAAGATTAGTGCAACACTAGATCCTCTGTCTGCAGAAATCTGTCTGCTGGGAGGATGGATGGTTTGTACCATGGACACCACTGTCCCAGAAGATGCTGCAGGACACCAAGCATGTCAGGCACCAAAGCACTGCTGTCCCAGCACATGCTGAAGATCTTAAGGCCTACTGATAGGAAAGGTTTATCTAATACAGATAGCTCTGTTTTGTGTAATCTGCACCTGTTCAAAAGACATTCCTTAAATGTATTGAACCCTACTTTTCAGTAAGGCTCTGAAATCATAATAGCTCAGATGAGTCCTGTGCCAGGGTGCAGCTTGCTTTGCTGCTTCTCTTGCCCCAAATAGCTGTTGTGTGAGGATGCACAATACAGAGAGTTAAGTACTTCTGGTGATTACAAGTGGTTTTGGAAGTCTAGCATGTAGCTATCAAGTTCTGATAGGACAAAAGCCTTTTCTGAAACCAAGCTTCAGGAAAACTCATTGCCCTCTAGGTAACGTATGCTGTACCTTTAACAAAAGGGAATTGCTGTGCCTTGAGGCCATGCTTATGGTACCTGAGGTAAGCTTCCTGCTTTACTGTGTTTTGTCCCTCTGGCATTAAAATATTTACTTTTAATCTGTTCTATGAATGAGGAAATTAAGTAGCTTGTCAGAGGTTCTGAACTGTTGAGTTAATAATTGAAAATACAATGGTTCTTAATAAAACACTGGGTCTAAATCTAAAAGGAGGAAATCCTTGAGCATGGTTACTGAGAAGAAAACTCACTAGAATTCATGAAATTTAGATGCCTGTTACAGTAAAAAATGTACTCAGTACTTAACAATATGATTGTCCAGATGAAATACTGTTTCCCACACGTATGAATGCAGAGAAGAGTGTCCTGTTCACTTGCAGACATCTGAGCAAAGAGCAGGTCTCTTGCTTTCATTCAGTTTATGTAGATTAGTTTGCCATAATGTCTGTTTCAAGGAATCCCACTAATTCCGTATAGACTTAGTAAACAGAAACTCACTTGTTGCTATCAGTGGACCTGTGATACTTCCAGAGGGTGAGTTTTGCTGGCACACCAACCAGGGTCTTAATAGCACTTGCTTTTAGAGTTAACCTTTAGCTGCTCCCTGCTGTAGCCTTCTATCTCCTTTTCTCTCTGTGTACTGGGACTTCCTTAAGGCTGACTCTCTTTCTGTGATCCTAGGCAACACAGTGAGCTTCACGCTAAGCAGTGCAGTGCTTTCATGTCTATGGTTACTGATGCAAAGTGGACTAGTGTTGTAAGCCTGTTCCTCCTTGAGAAAAGGTGCTTGAGTCTCTTGGGTGCAGCGCTGAATGTTTTGGGAAGTTGCATCAGCGTAACAGATTCAAACTGAACTCCTACAGAGCATTTAAGATATTTATCTGAGAATGGCTGACCATAAAATGGATTCATTCAAAATTAATTTTGATTTAGCAGTATTAAATCCTGAATTTGTAAATCAAGTGTGTAGAGTTGAATTTGTAGTCTTTTGTAACCTTAACAGAGCGCAGGACTGTTCAGCTTCCAACAAGTCTCTGGCAGAGACCTGTTCAGAACCCAGACAGGGAAAGGTTTTAAACTGAGACACAGGACATTTGGGTTAGATATTAGGAGGCAGTTCTTCACTCAGAGGATGGTGACACACTGGACCAGGTTGCCCAGGGAGGTTGTGGATGTCCCATCCCTGGAGGCATTCAAGGCCAGGCTGGATGTGGCTCTGAGCAGCCTGGTCTGGTAGCTGGCGACCTTGCACATAGCACGGGGGTTGAAACTAGATGATCATTGTGGTCCTTTTCAACCCAGGCCATTCCATGTTTCTGTGGTTCTATGAACTTTTAAGATTTAGCTTAGAGCCTTTGGCAAAAGGCAGTGTTTTTCTGTTACTGAAGTGCTATTACAAGTGTCTTGGCATGTTATCTCCCAGTATTTCTTTATTAGAGCACCTGCATCCATAGAAGTCCTTTATTAAGAAGTCATCTGTTTTTACTGTTTATATTCTGATTCAAGTAAGCTGGTTTTTTTGCGTTTGTATTTTTAGCATTTGCTCTTACTGTGCTAAGCCTTTTAAGATCTTAAACTGTTGTGTGAGGAGAGTTGACCAGCTTTGCACATCTAGTGATATGAAATGTACATAACAGCAGCAAAATATTTACTTGTGCACACGCCCAGGTTCCTTCTCGTGTATGCTCACGTGTTGGGTGGATGGCTAGTGGAGCAGCTGTTCAGATTCTCCTTGTTTTAAGGAACAAAACTTGGTGGAGAGAAAACAGCAGACATGCTTTAGTTTTTAATTGCCTTCCATATGGAGGACATGATACATTGTATGCCTAGTTGATATTTCTAATAAATTTCTACAGTAATAGATCTGCTCGTCTGATTCTTGTCCTTCCCCCACATCAACCTTGTGAATGGGAAACGGCACTTGCTGTTTGTAGCTGCTTTATAAGGGTGCCAAGTACCACTGCCCATGTCTCAGTTTGAGGCTGAACACAGGCTGTATTGAAGCAAACTGTTCTCATTGCTGCCACTGCCTCAAAGGGACATTTTAAAAAGCTGGAATGCTGTGTTACTGTCTTAGCACTGTTGAGAACATGCTTAATGTAGTATAGTAGTGTTCTGTCATCTGATCCTCTGCCAGTTATTCTGGTTTAAATTTGTGTATTGTAATTTCAACATAAAAATAAGCCTTTAAACTGAAAATTTTGGAAGCGTCCTTTTTTTCTTTAGCTCAGTGTGGAGGGAAATTAAGAATGGTAGATGTACTTTGGAGTAGTTTGTACTTCCGGTAACCAATCTACTTCAGGTGTGTATAGAAGCTATTAATATCTCAGAGTGCCACGTGTAGCTGAAAAGTTTGTGTTACTTTTAGTTCCTGTGTGTTAGGACCCTGGCAAAATTCCTACCTGTTTGTTTTCATATTTGCATAATACTGCACTAATCCATAAGAGTGCTGTGTTTCAGTTATAACGAAACCTTTTTTAAAGTGCTATTCTCACATGGAAAAAAAAAAAAACAACTTGTCTTTACTGGTTTTCTCTGAATTTGTACGCTGTTTTGGGCATGTTACTTAATGAGAATTAATTCCTATCTTCTGCCATACCACTTTGGTCTTGTAGAGGCTTATTATGATGGCAAAACTTGGGTTTATTTGATGAGTACCAAGGTTACACTTGCTCATCTGCTTGCTGAATAAGTGCAGATGTTCAGTCTGCTGTGTTTTATGGAATTACTTTGTTTCACTACGTATTTGTTCTTCTGGGGGGAAAAAAGCCAACAACAAACAACTCTGCACAATGGGGAAGATATGCCAGCAATTCAAGCTGGTCCTCCAAAGTGAAGCTGATTCTTTCTATCCCGTGAGAAGGAACGCTGTCTGAAATAGTCTGAGTCCTGTTTTTACTACTAAAAGCAATCGTGCAAACAGCTCTTCAGTGTTTCTGTTTTTCCAGAAGCATTAACTTCCATGATGAACTTCCTTCTTGTGAGGAAGGGCTGTGCTGCCCCATTTAGCTATGAAGCAAAGGACATAAACAGCACTGGTTCTACTAATGTGCTCTAATAGTAAAAATCTAGGCATGGACAGCAAGAGAGCTTATTGCTGTGTGCTTCTGTACCCTACAGAGGCTGTATCCTGTGTTTGCAGACATTTCTTCTAAAATTCATCATCTAAGCAGTGTTTACCAAATAATTGAATGCTACACATGCTGTGATACTGAATGAAATGCACCCTCAGCTGAGGACAGCTTTTTCAGTGGTAACCATGGTGGTTAGCTTCATTTATGCAGTTCCTAAAATATGGTTAATCTATCCTTATACGTGCAAGTAGACATAATAATGATGACTAGAATTAGAAGTGTAATTCATTGGTATAGAGGGCTGCTTTAAAAGAAAAAGTTATTCATATGAATATCTCAGAGATATGATCATATTATTCACTGATCATAGTCAGCTTTTTGCTTTGGAGTGGACGCTGCATTCTCGTCACTGCACGATCAGAGCAAGGTAAGTAGCTATCTGACTTGGTTTCACTCTGCAGGATAAATGCTTCTACAACTCTTTTTTTAATGGGGCTTAGTTTATTTTAAACTTCATCTTAAGCATCTTTGATTTTGGACTCTAATTCTCTTCCAGCTGTGCAGCACTGACTAGTCAAATGAAATTAAGCTGGAACATGGGCAGGAGATTGTGGGAGTTGGGGGTGAAGGCATGAGGTGGAGAAAGATGTGCTCTGTTCTGTCTTGTTGCATTAAGGACAAACTCTAAAGCATTTTTTTTTTCTTAGCTGCAACTTTTTGAAGTGTGCTTGCATGTATTTCTTATTCCCTCTCTGTACTCCCCTGTAATGTAGTCAGTGCTTAGCACTGCAAGCCTTTCCTAGAATATGTTTAAAGCAAAGCAGTTTATTCAAAATG